TTCCTGACAGGGCTCGTAACTTGCTTCACTCCTCTTTTGTGAGCTGGAAGGCTCTTACATAATGGGGACCATAGTTCCTGACAGCTCACGCATATTATGCTAACGCTTTATACTTTGTAAGTCTTTATTCTTACCGCCGTAGTCTCACCGGCTTCGGGGCGATGATAAGATGCTCGGCACTTCCGAATTCTTCCCCGATGGAACGTCATCAGAGTCGGATGGTGTGCCCACTCAGCAATTGGACCGGATCCCAGTGCCCAGCGTCCTTCGACGCGGTCATTGGACCCGAGGCCCAGCCGAGCACTGACGCAGCACTCGTATCCAATCCGTGCCTTCGCTCTATCTCACTGTGATGGCGTCGAAATTCTACTGCACACGCTTTGATTATTCTAGGTGGTTTTGGCTCTGATCGAAACTTCGTCAGTTATAAACCAAACCATTTTTTTTTACTTGTAAGAACGGTTTTGGACGTTATTATAACTATTCATTTTAGTGCAGTGGTCTTCACAGATCAGAAGTTTTATTTGAACGTTATGCGCGAGGCTAGAGTACGCGCTCTGATCCCAGTTTCCGAGCGACGGGTTTTTTGTCGTAATTTGATATAGTTAGGAACTATGGCTCCTTTGGTCATCACTTGTTTCTTGAGATATTAAAACATGCAACACACTTTGGGGTGATTTTCTAATAGATTCGCTCGTAGGAAATATCATCGAGGCGTGCGATGACGTGATTGTTGTGTTCTGCCGATGGACTCGCGCAATGAGGGCGTGCCTTAAGTTCTAGTGTTTGTGAACCGTGCTTCCGATGTGCTCCTAATATACGTTCCTATGCACACTACTGGTGACGTAACATTGCCGTTTTTCTTCTATTTTTCAGGTAAGCTGGAACATTTCTGCTCATCTGCCGTTTGTCATAACCTTTCGCTGACGTAATCTACAGGTGAGCCTTTGTTTTTGTTCTCTTACTGAACTCCAATTAAAAAAAAAAAGAAAGCCTGAAAAAAAAAGTGTAAAATTAGCTAGGGGGAAAATGGGCGCCCCATAATAAACTTGGTGAAAACGTTCAAAGCGGCACCGGGCGTTTTGCTCGCTCACTTCTAAAGTGAATCGGATTTTTTGGAACTGACTCCTTTCAGGGTAATCTGTTATTCAAAGATGTTCGTCCCTTTATTACTCGCTTTATCGAAGAATAAACGAGATACATTTAAGTAAACGTTGCTACGTTGCGAGAGTGACGTACGAAATAAAACGAGCAATGTCACAGTTTATTGTTACATCACACTACGGGTTTATATATGCTCGTGTTCGCGGTTGGTCAAATATTTTATGCGCTGAGATTGACACGGCTTGCATACTTCATAAGATAGTTGCGCTCACATTGGCACTTCATGATGATCAAATCATAGATTGCAGACAACCCACAATATCGGCCCTGATGTTCTATATTCTAGTTCCCTCGGGCGCTGTGAAATTTAATCGCACTGACGAAGCCCTTTTACCTTTTTCGTTCGCTACTTGGTGCCAGTGCAATATATTGTTCAAGTTAACTGACACGAATCAGTTACACAAATTCTGAACGACGATTTTTACTTGACTCCTGCAGTCTTTGTACTGTACTGCAGCCCGTCGACTTAATTTCTTCGGTTGAACCGTGGTCAGTAAAACAAAATATAGAAACAAATATTTACGTTTTTTCTTACTCGTCTTCGTTTGAAACGTTGAAGCGTTTAGACCACAGTGTGACGCAATATATATAAACAAAGTTGGGATGATGTGATTATATCTTTTTTTTTTTTTTGCATTAAAGTAAGGAATAGGGAAGTGGAAAGAGAGCTTCTGACAAATTCGGCCAGGAGCGGGGACCAGACTCGCAACTTTCGCCTGTCCGGGGCGACGCCTTAACCGTTTAGACCATCCCGACCACTGCTTTCGTTGGAATCAATTTTTGATCAGCCGTCCGCGTACTGTTATAGACCGACACGCTGTTTACAAAGAAGCCCGCGTTTGCCCACACCAGGTGTGGGCACTGCGCACGCGCAGGAACCGAATTCGCGTGAAGTGAAGCGTCTGCGCATGCGCAGTGCCGTCAAGAGCGCCACCGCTGCTGCATGACGTCATGGCCGCGTGTTGGTCTATACGTATATGCGAAAGGGACCACCGTACGCGCGCGTGTAGGGTCTCGTGCACTACGTTTTTTTTTTTACTACATTTCGAACAACTGAAAGGTTAAGCAACACGATAAAAAGTCAATAAAGTTTGAGACTACGTCACCGCCTTTTGACACGCTGGACCCAACAATACCGCATAGCCAACGTTCGACCATAAGAAAAAAAGACGGGAGCGAGGGAAGAAACTAACAGGTCCAGGATTTAAAAAAAAAAAAAAAATCATTCCGGTCTTTTTTTTAAGTTACACTCCCCAGGAAAGATTCAGTTGGAAGTTAATCGCCCGTTTTTAAATTGCGTTGTTCACTTTACGAGCTCGATACGACCGAGGTCGCGGTTCATAAAAAACGAACGACATCCGCGTGGACGTTTATGTGATATTGAAATATTGGTTTCGCGAGGTTTCATCCTGGTTTGTGGATCACTTGGAATCATCATCAATTTCTAAATATATATATATATATATATATATATAAAAAAAAACTAGGTTTTGACTGTTGTGCTGTCTTGACAAACTCCATGAATTCGCGAGTATGTTGCCCGACGAGCCCGGCGGAACCAACCAATGAATGATCTTCATATGTTTGATTTGCACTCGATAATATTAGGCGTATCGGCCGTTTATTAAGAAAGACTATAGTCGATAAACGTGTGGCGTCGCAATTATTGTAAAGCGTCAACATTCTGTCGGAGTCACCGTCCCGATTTCCGTGACAAACATAAAAGCAATGAATTGTCCGGTGCAGACGACTTAGAAACAGATATTTTCGCCTTTGTCCTATCCCTCAACAATGCACTAGGGGTCGGGGAAGAAAAGGCTCAAAGGGAATCAATGAGCGTAGGCGGAAAGCGTCATTAAACGCCGTTGTGACTCCCACTAGTTTCCCTCTGTATAAACTTACACGCAGCTGAATATTCTTTAAAGCTGCGAAATGTTCGCCGACTAAGGCAGACTTGTATTCCGCGACAATGTTTTCCGCGCATCTTAGGAGAAATTTCGAAAGCGATAATTTAGATGAAAGCTTCGGCTCTTCGAGACCTCGCGCAACAGCGACCGCCCTCGTAACTACGTGCATTGTATCGTGCACTGCGGGTCACATTTCGCGCGAACTGGACATGAACGCGTTGTACGGTCGGACAGGAGGAGCTTGGCATATCTTTTTAATGTCCGCAGTACGCGATCGTTCCATTCCTTTTGTTCATCTCGTGAACACTCGAAGCTCGTGCTAGAAGAGATACAACCAAAACTTTCAGTACCGTTCTTAGCCTGCCTTTCGTCATACCGATGCCCGAAATGCGCCGTTTTTAATACACTAGTTCCATCGATGGCAGCTAGTAGTTCAGCTCTCATAAACAATCGTTCAATTCTGGCGATTGCTCGCTCGTGCTAACATTTACGGGCTCTTCTCGGCGCACGATGAAACGCTGTCGTCGAGTCGCGGCAGTTTCGTCGCTCCCGCGCCTCCGGAACATCGTTCCCGATCCGAACGGCAGTGGCCGGGTGCCGCCAATTCGAACGCGACGTCACGCTTCGGGTCACATGACCCAGCGCCAAGCGACGCCCTCGTGTTCCGGACGCGGTTCAAACCGAGCCGCCCGCGGCTCGCGGCGTCGCTTCCGTGACGTCACGAGCGAGCGCTGCCCACGTGACGACCGGCGCGGGAGATGGCTGCTGTCGAGGTTAAACGAGCAGAGTCTCGCGCGACGCCGGTGAGCCCGGGAACGCGGGCTTCCCTGCGAGGCAAGGCATCCATTTTGAACTCGGAGATGCAACGCCGTGGAGTAGATACCTGACGTCCAGGTGGCCGGACCTGTGCGGACGCTCGCTGCGTGGCCGCTCTCGCCGTGACCCGGTGTTCGGCGCCAGTGCGTTGGAGTTCTAGGCGAGTTGCCGTCGGTCGCTCGGAGTCACCCGCCCTCCGACGCCGGCGAGACCAGCCCGCTCTCGCGAGAGAGAGTCGGTGTTGCCCGGCGGCGTCGTCGCTTCAGTCGCAAATTCCGCCGAGGTATGGGCGGGCCCGAACGCCGGAGCGGCGGACGCGTCGGCGCTCGGCGCCCTTTGACGTCTCTCCGTCGCAGCACGAAGCATGGCGTGCCCGACGGCCCGCTGCCGAGCAGTCAGCCTCGCCGGCTTCGCCCCCAGTCAGGCGTGCTCAGCTGTCGGAAGTCGAGGGCGCGCCACTAGTCTCGCCGATCGCGACTGACGTGCGCTTTCTACCGTCCCGAAATGTGTCGTCCGTGGCCGACGGGCAAGAGAAGACCGCTCGCTCGAAGACGACGTCTAGGCTGCTTCCACGATTCGTCGGGGGGACGCCGTCCGTTTTGCTTGGAATGAAGCCACGAGCCCACGCTGCCACGTAGCGTTTTTGATTTTCGTTTTTGACGTTTAATTTTTGTTTCGCATCTTTTTTTTTCACGGCCGTCTCTTATGGAGACGCGGATTGTTCGCCGCCACCGGAGACACCGGTCGCGACCGCTCGCGACGACTCCGCAGTCGCAAGCTGCACCTCGAAGTGGACGACCGCGTGCTTGAGGACGCAGACGACGTCGCCCGCGGTGGAGCCCCCTTCAACGACTTCGCGTCCGCTGCCCCTTTCCCAGCCCGATCGCGTCAAGTGTGCCTCGCCTCGTACGCCGAGAACGGACGAAACGCCCCTTGTGCCAGGAACGAGGAGTCCTGCCATGACGTCGACTGCCGCGTGTGACGTGGTGTCGTGTGCGTGCGTGGACGTTCGGGCTCCCGTCCGGAGAGCAGCGGAGTGCGGCGACGGAGGGTTCGGGATGACGCGGCAGGGCCCGTGAGGTTGCCCCGAGGGACCCATGCTTCCTGGTCCCCATGGCGGCCGTTGGCATCTGGTCACAGGCCGGAACAGGAAGCGGAGGACAAGAAACCCAACTCCCGCCCGAGATACTCCACGACTATAACTGGCAGTGAGTAGTAGAGCCGTGCACGCTGTTGGGGGCGCGAGACACGTGGGCCTAGTCGCTGGCAAGTTAAGATCCACCGAGCCTGAACTACCTAGAAGACAAGGCCCGCGCATTACGTCATTGGTAGTGGATCGCTGGCCCGCCCCTAAGCGTCAAACACGTCGAAGCTTGATGAGAGCGCCTGTCTCGGCGTCGTTGTGAGACTCAGCGAAACGCGCTGGTGGCGATGCTGGCGCCAGCTAGGTGGCACTGCGTGGATTCACTAGTGATGACGTTTGGGGCGGGAAAGGCGCAGGCCTTGTCTTCTAGGTGGGCCTGACTGGCCCTGAATCTATTACCCACTGAGGACAGCCGATTGGACCACGGTACGGCACGCTAAACAGATCCAGGGAGCATTCCATGCTTGCAGTAGACGTCAAAAGTGTCCGAGCTGGGATCGTAGATCGGTGGGCAACAAACAGCCTTTGGTAGTTCTTTTCGCGTAACCCTCTGCACAGTACGCGCATAAACTTTTTCTGCCTGTTCGATTTTAAAATTGCGATTTTATTGGGGCAACACCTGGTGGCAGGGATGGGGAGTCGAACGGGCGCGAGAAATATTTCGCTTATACTTCGGCCTCCTTAGAAAGTGTGCGTAGTATGCGGAGAAACGGGCTGCGCCATCGGACAAGCAACAAACACCGATCGCTGATGAGCCAGGCACACCTCGTTGTCATCCTTTCTTACGCCTTCGGGGTCTCTAACCGGCTACAGAACATATTGAAACATTGCTACTGCTATTGAGACCTTGTCGGGTCACCAGAGTAGAGTCTCTCTTACGTCTGCAAGCAATGTTTCATTGTTTTCCCACGGTGGTAACTGGCCTTCAGTCGGCCTTTGCTCGCCCTCTTTGGGGAAACTTTCAACCCAGGTCCCAAATGGTTCGTTACATTTCGCTCACGTTACGTTTATTGTGCAGTTCAATAATTCCGTCGTTCTCCGACAATTTGGGAAGGAGCGGAGCTTTTCTCTCGGATTTAATGATAGAATAGTCTATAGGCAAGTTCCAGCTACGGTGTCGCCGCTCTGGCGACCAGTGTCCGAAACGCGAAGAGGGTGATCGGTGTCGCTTGTGTAGGACCGTAACTCGGGAAAAGTAGGCTCATAAACACCAACGAAAGGAATATTACCTGGCGTTAGTAGGATGAACACAATTAAGGAAGAAAGCAGAGTCTGTATCCTCTTGTCAGAGTTTCCGTTCTACGGCTCTGTTGTCTTTGCAAGGCTTGACCTGGCTTCTCGCGGGGACACGGTGTTCCGTCCGAGAAGCTCGCCTACTTGGCACTGAACGAGTCTTTTCCGCGGTATGCGTCTGTTCGGTGGTTGGATGAGGTTTATAGAAGAGACTTCCGGCGTGACGGCGACCATAAAAGTCGACGTGGTCATTCCTTCGCTCGCCGAGATGGCACTGGCCCTAAGCAAGAGTCGTGAAAGTCGTCTCGGGTGACGGAGTGCAGAGAGGTGCTTCCAAAGATTCTTAAGATAAGTTCTGACAGTAGGGGTGGCTTAAGCGTGAGCTTATTTTGGATGTAACAACTGCAAATACACTTGGCGCGATGCGGAGAATTTATCCCGGTTTTAGTGTTTAGCTGTATAACTTTGCTTTATCGCTCTCGTCGAAATGTTTGACATGTTTGCCCTCGCAACCGGCCCCTGTTTCTTCGAATGGAAGTCGCGGTTGACGGTTGTTTTGTTAATTTATTCTTTGACGTCTATGAGGAGTACGTGAAGGAACTTATTGGCCAAAGTATCAATTTAACAATCGCGGCTTCACGCAGACGCCTTCATTTTTTTTCTGTTTCGAGCTAACACTGTCAATGACTTCTTAGTGACTTGGATTCTACTGTTTGACGTCAAATTCACCGTTAAAAATTTAGAGATCGGTTTTTGTATATGTTTGAACCAATGGTCTTCGGTCGCATTTCCCAAAAAGTAACAGCTGTACCGAACGACAACTATTTATGCATTGGATTCGTACCGTATTTAAAGCTTCGAATTAACCGCATGTAAAATCGTTTTTACAGAACAATCTCGTATTGACCGAGGTTTAGTTCTATGTATTTCTTTACAGCGCGTATATTCCATGAAATCACAGAAATCGCAGCTCACAAGCCTGGTTCTTTTGTTCCTCTCCCAAAATGTTTCCTTTCTCGATGTTTGTGGGTGGTTGACGTCGACATTATGAGATAAATCAAGGGGGGATCGTTTGCCATGTGTGGTGGCACACTGCAACTCGGAGCATGTGGAGCGAAAGCTCGCGTTGCAAAACCCAGAGATCCTCACCCGTGCCGGTTTCAATCTGGATGAGTATCGTACCGGTGTCCGGTCTTGTATCACTACTGCATGGTTCACGTTAAAGACCCCAGACTAGCTGTCGTACTGCACTGGCTACGTTTCTCATCTACACTGGACAACAGTGTCGCCATATGCTTTTCAGGCTTTACTCCTGCTGTCAGAACAACTAACGACTCGTTTGTGTTTAGTTTGTGACATACCTAAAAGGTCAAAACAGCGCAAAAGACAACGGACAGGGTAAAGAAGGACACAGACAGCGCTCCATCTGTGTCCTTCTTTATCCTGTCCGTTGTCGTTTGCGCTGTTTTAACCTTTTAGGTATGTCACACCAACTCGCCCAGGCTTTAACCTTAGCAACATTTATTTATTTTGTGAATCACGAAACGCAGTGGTGCCCATTTTTTTATCCGTGTAACGTACTACCGTATGCCGATGTGGTTTGCTTGCTGGGGTTAAGCTTGATAGTCGGTTCGGTGTTCTAATATTGATCGCATCCTTCCTGCTTCTTACATAACTGGAAGCGTGTGGCATGATGTACCTCGTGTCTAAAGGGGTATTCACACGAGAAACGCTTTTCGGGTAGGAACGTACATGAGAGTGAACGGCGGAACCAGCGGGGCTCTTTCCCGACTCTAGCATGACAGTGTTATCACTGTCATGCTAGAGTCTGATAACACTGTCATGAAGGATGACAGTGTTATCAGACGCATTTAGTGGTGGCACTATAGACAACAGGACTCGATGTGCGCTGAGGAGAGTAGAAAAACGATGGCCAACATGAAACGGCGATACACGATTATGGCAGCAGCACCGTTAAGTGCAGGAGACGGCGAACTCATTACCTCTAAAAGAAAGCCACTAACGGGATACCGCCAATTGCAAAGAGATCCACCGCCAAAGCGGTGAGCGTTTGTGCAGCCCGAGCGAAAGCTCCCCCGTCGCCCTGAGATGTCTACGTCAGCGCAGCACCGCACAAAGGCATGACGTTGTTACTACGTGATGCACATCCCGGGGAACAAAGGGAGCGATTTTCCCCCGTGTGAATACCACCCCTTAAAAGGGTACACCGGTGATTTTTTTTAGCTACCCGAACGAACTATATTTTCTGAATCCCTTTCGAGTATACTATTTAGTATCGCGAAACTCGGAAGAGTTATTCTAAAATCGGCAAATGAAAATGATGCCAAAACAAACATTCAAATATGCCCGCGCTTTTTAGTGCCGTACCTTCAGTGGCAGGCAGAATCGCCAGTCGAGCAGGCAGTCAAAAAAATTAAATATGTCGAGGCATAACCTCCTTTATTCTATAAAGCCCGTCAAAAAGCGGATGAACGTTGCCGCCGTAAAGGAGAAAGGAGATCAGAGGAGAGGAGGGAGCGCGCAGGGGCTCTCTCTGGCAGCGCCAAACGAGGCCTCAGCGGTGAAATCCGGAAACACGAAAGCGCTCCTTTATTCGTTTTTTTTTAAGAAAAAGGAACGTTTTTCACCGAACTTCTCTATTCCGCCCCTCTCCCGTTTCTTTACCTGCAGGTAGCCAAAACCTCTTAGATAAGAAAGCCTTAGTGCTTTCATGCGTCACTATAGAAAGCCACCGTAGGCCACACATTGGACACGAGTGCTGCGTCGCCGTTCGGCCGGAACTCGTGTCCAATGAGTGAAAGCCCGAGCCCCAGCCGACGCCGTTGTTGTGTCCAATGTGTGACCTACGGTGGCTTTCTTTAGTGACGCAGTAAATTCAGCACCTGGGCTTTCTTATCTAAAGGGTGCTGCGTTTTCTCGTTTCCTTTTTCTCCGTTGCGGTTTTTCGCTGTTTCGCGGAGAGGCCACCGCGCGTATTTTTGGCGCTGGCTGGAGGTTTACCCAGAAGTGGCTCTGCGCTACCATGAGGGTAACCGTTTAGCTTTTTTCCGGCGGCCACTCGCTCAATGGCTCTGTCGTGGAATTGACGGGCTTTCTAGAATAAAGGAGGCTATACTCGAGCATTTGTTTCGTGCAGCTGCGTGGGCACTGGAGCGAGCTTCCAAAGCATTTTATTTGACACCATGAAACCGCTTGTATGCAGTTGGGAACGAATTCTACGGTTCAAAAGAGCGAACCCCCTGCTTGTCGCTGGCGTCGCTTTTTTGTTGTTGCCAGGAGAGACTTTCAGTTTGAAAAACAAGATGTGAACCGAAACAGTAAATTCAATAACTTAGCGAAAAAAAAAATTATTTAGGTCTGATGTTTGGGAAACTATTTTAGCCGTGCGTATTGGTGCGTTTAGGATATTTTCAAACGAATCGGGGGCCACGAAGAAAAGGCCTAAGTACCCCTTGAAGGAGTGGTCGATTTGCTCGAACGCACCGCCCACAACGAAACGATCACACTTTCGACCGCGTCGATGCCATTTTTTGCCCCAAAAATAACCGCGTCGGTGCTTTTTTTTTTTTTTTTTTTTACCTCAAGGTGAAACATAACCATCTGGCCCAAATAAACCTTTTAGCCGTTTTTTTTTTTTCCTTTTTGCGTTGAGCGGCATTTTAGCCGTAATTGGCGTTTGCAGATGTATGATTAGCTGCCTGCGCCTCGTAAAGATAGGAATCTTGAAAGTTTGAAATCGGGCGCACGGCATTTCGTGTCGCAAAACGCGTTGGTTTTGTTGAAATGAAACGGCCAGGGGAAGACGATCAT